ATCCATGGAGACAAAGCAACGACGAATGGTAGGGTTATAACACCGATACCTTTTCTGAGTAGCAGAGTATCCAAGAAAGACACATCGGATTGCCTTAGGGTCCATTTTGTCCTTGCGATGATGAATGTGAACATAAAAAACACAACCAAACACTTTCGGAGGGACAGTAAACAAGGCAGTGTCATGGTGTAAGACAGAGAAAGGGGACTGATAGCCAAGAACCTTAGAAGGCATGCGATTGATAAGGTATGTAGCTATTAAGATTACATCATCCCAATAACTTTTAGGCACTCCCATCCCAATTAGAAGAGAACGAGTCACCTCCGTAATATGATGATGTTTTCTTTCAACTACACCGTTTTGTTGTGGTGTATCGACACCAGAGGTTTGATGGACAATCCCTTTATCAGCAAAAAAAGAGGCAAGACCACCATACATAAACTCACTTCCATTATCAGATTGAAGGATTTTGAGGGGACAACCAAACTGAGTACATTCCATCCAATGAAAGGTTTTAAAAATGGAATGAACTTCATCTTTGGTTTTCATAAGATAAAGCCAAGAATATATTGACTAAAGTCATCAACAAACATAACAAAGTAACGAAAACCAAGTAACGAAGTAGTAGATTCAAGACCCCACACATCAGAATGAACAAGATGCAAAAGAGCTATATTTTTATTAATACTAGTAGGATAAGAAACACGACATTGTTTGGCAAGAACGCATGTTTCACAATTTAACTCAAAAGATTCAACAGAAGCAAACTGGGGAAGCATATGCTTCAAAACAGGAAGAGGTAAATGACCTAGTCTATTATGCAATCGCATTAACAGATCTTTATTGACATTACTATTCCTAACATTAGATTGATTTGCAACATAATAAGAAGTTGGCCTCGCGTTCAACAAATACAAGCCATTGTCCTCACGTCCACTTCAAATCGTCTTCCCCGTGTCCAAGTCCTGAAACACACAGTGAGATGGAAAAAAGGTTACACTACAATTCAAGCCTTTTGTAATGTGACTGATAGAAAGGAGGTTATTGGTAAACTTTGGGACATGAAGAACAGAGGATAAGGTAAGATTAGGAGAGGCAAAAATAGTGCCCTTCCCCGCTGTTGTTTATTATGAGAGATAGAGAGAACAGAGAGAACAAAATGTATATCTATATCACCGACACACTACCAAATAAGCCTATATAGGCTTATATAAGGGATACAAGCCTCCTTAATAACACAAGGGCCTACTAATATAATGTAATTACATAATGGCCCAACATATATATATATATAACATTCTAACACTCCCCCTCAAGCTGGAGAATATATATCAAATAATCCTAACTTGGAACAGATAGTTCTTAACCGGTTATGACCCAATGCTTTGGTAAACATATCAGCTAATTGATCTTCAGACTTCACGAATGGAGTAGAGATGCTCCCAAGCAATATCTTTTCTCGAATGAAGTGACAATCAACTTCAATATGTTTGGTCCTCTCATGAAACACAGGATTTGAGGCAATGTGAACTGCTGCTTGATTATCACAGAACAATGGAGTAGGAACTTCAACTGTCAACCCAAGTTATTTTAGAAAATGTTGTATCCAGGTCAACTCACTAGTAGTATGAGCCATTGCCCTATACTCAGCTTCAGCACTAGATCGAGCTACCACCGTTTGCTTTTTACTTCGCCATGTAACAAGATTGCCTCCTACAAATGTGCAGTAGCCTGTAGTAGATCTCCTATCTGAAGGAGAACCAGCCCAATCGGCATCTGTAAAACCTTCCACCCTGAGATAACCATTTGATTTATATAGTAACCCAACACCTGGAGCTTGCTTGAGATATCGGATAATCCGAAGAACAGCAATCCAATGTGGCATTCTAGGAGCTCCCATAAACTGACTTACAACACTAACTGCATATGAAATATCAGGTCGAGTGATAGTGAGATAAATTAATTTCCCAACTAGACGACGAAATCTGCCCGGATCATTAAATAGATCACCCTCATCAGACACAAGTTTTGTATTCGAATCCATAGGAGCATCAACCGGGCGACCACCCAACATACCTGTTTCTTCTAATAAATCCAACACATATTTTCGTTGTGATAAACTTATACCCTTCTTGGATCTAGCAACTTCAATACCCAAGACGAAGAAGACATAGCCTTCATTCTACTCTCTTCAGCCTGGATATACGAAAACATATCTCTAACAGAAATAGGGGTTGGATACCCGCCTAACACTTGTACCCTGGCATGCTCGTATCTCGAATGTAAACCGCCCAAGAACTCATAGATTCGATTCCTTTCTACCATAGCATGAAATGCTTTAACATCAGCTGCACACACAGGTATGTAGTCTTGGTAGTGATTTTTCCCTTCCCATTTACCACGTAGAGTGTGGTAATATGTAGCAAGAGTTTGGTCTTCCTACTTGAATCTTGAAATTTGTTGTTGGAGTTCATACAGTTTTGCAAAATTACCAACCGAAGAATAGGTCTCTTCCACAGCCGTCCATAACTCCTTGGCTGTTTTCACAAATTGAAACCCTTTGCTGATCTGTGGCTTTATAGACTACAACAACCACGTCATAACTAGTGCATTATTTGCACTCCACTCTTTAAATGCAGAGGGATACGTGACAGTCCCTTCGATATGGTCGATCATCCTACGACCAGTGATATGCATATGAGCAGATTGAGCCCACTCCATATAGTTCGTCTCATCTAGCCTAACAGTCGTAATACAAAGGCCTGGATGGGGATCACTACTACCTCCCAATATTAGAGTCAAACTAGGAGAAGACCCAGTTTCTTTTGAAGTCACCTCTGAGCCAGACATTTTATCAAACAATTTCTGGGTATACAATCCTCATAAACAAAAACAGCAACAAAATACGTAGAGAACCACCTTTTTAACACACAAACTTCAACTAAAAAGATTACCGTCTTCTAAGATGCATAAAAAAGCGACAACACAATCACTATACAAACCCTAGAAAGCAACAAAGTAGACCATACTAGAATCACGAAAGACGAAGAAAAAGCCGTTGTTACAAAACCCCGTGAACAAAAAAAAACACCAATCGAGACTGCAAAACCCTTCACACCCACTAGGGTTTACACAAACTTGCCCTAAGGTTTCAACTGCAAACCTAGAGCATTACAAACCATGCTCTGACACCATGTTGACTTTAAGATATAATCAGATCAAAAGTAAGTGATAAAGAAGAATAAGAAAAAGAGAAGAAAGCGATGGGGAAAAAGAGAAAGAATAAAAGAATACTTTCATCCTTCCACCACATTCTATTTATAATAACAAGTTTCAAAAATTACACATAAGCCCCAACGTTATATAAGTAATAACAAATAAGCCCCTGACAACAATATCTAATGTGCAACTTTTTGACGATCCAAAGGTTTGATAAACGTTGACAGCAATAATTCTCTTTTCTATATTAGGACACAGCAGATCACTCTATAACATCTTTTTAGATGCTTTTCAAGAAAAGAGAAGGACATGCATTTGACTCTCTTAGGCGGTCAAATGCCTAAAATATGAATGTGTTTCCTTGCATCAAAATAAGCCTTGACCAACAAATTGGTATTAGGATTTCAGGTTCATCTCCTCGGATACAATTAGCTATCTAGAAATTTTCAGCATTATTCAAAGATGGATGATGTCAGGATTAGAGCCAATCAGAATTTTTCAGATCTTGATGGATCATAATTTTATCCATAAATCCGATACTAAGTAATCAAGGGCGAATCCAAGAATTGTCAATGGGGTGGGCTAATATTAAACATAAATTTAGCTGATTTCGGCTTGTTTGGGTAGACTAATATTTGGGTGGGCTAATACTAGTAATAATTTTTTTTTATTTTCTTTGGGCTGGGCTAAAATTGCCTATATTAATAGAAATTTTTATTTTTTGGGGTGGACTCAAGCCCACAAGAGGCCACCCCTAGATATGGATCCGCCCTTGCAAGTAATTGAGATAAAGGCTTCGTTGTGAACATTGCATTCATGCATATATAGACGTAAAAACCATTCCTTGAAATAGATAATCAGAATTCAAAATTATTTAACAAATAATAGTTACTGTTGGGGCAGTGGAAGCGCGCGAACACAAAGATCCAATGAAAGCCAACAAAGCAATCACACACAAACGCAAAATATACATGGTTCACCCAAATTCAGGGTTACATCCATGGATGAGAAGAGATTCCACTATAATTTGTAGAGATATTACAACAATAGAGTACCAACACCACGTAAATGTCTTTTCACTATGTACCACTCCACGAGCCAATCTCCTTGCTAACAGTGCCACCAATGTTTTTTCTACTCTACAAACCAGCATACTACCTCTACCCATCAACTCCCTCATAGGCTACATCTCTCTCAATATCATAAGTCTCAACTCAAAGCCTATTCTATTATAGAGTTCCAAACTCAATTCCTTGTTGGACAAGGATTACAATTTCATAGAGCCTAAGACTCGCCAAACAAGAAATTACCAAACAGAATACAACTCTGAAATAGAAACATAATTAGAATAGGAATTTGAGACACAATTTCCAACAATTACATATTTTGAATTTAACAGACAACCACCCCTTCCCCTTAAAACATGTAAAGAAATATAACAACAACAAAAACAACAAAGCTTTTTTCCCAACTATACATGAAGAAATATATGATAATATATCACAATAACATTATTGCACCTTTTGGTATTTCATACTTCGGTCATATATAATCAGGTTAGCTTCAAGTTAGAAACTTACAGCTTTAAGCCGAAAAAACAATAGGTAGAAGCAGAATGTGAAATCTTATTGAAGTATTTCCTACTTAATAAAGATCAGAAAAAAATGTGCACATGTTATCTCATGTATTCAAATTTGTGGTACTAATTATTATGTTAAACCAACACGAGGCAAATATGTTTAGAGTAGAGTATAATAAAACTTAAAATTAATAAAACAAACCAGTATCGTGAAGTCCTGTCCTTGGGAATATGGATTTTGGTACCCCGTGGAGAGTTGAGTCCATAGGGAGAGTTCTCCCCAAACTAATGCCCCGTATGTTATCCTGCAAAACAAGTGAAAATTTAACTTCAATTCAATTCTACAAAATAAAAAATTTGTCACTACAGTATCCGCATATGTAACCATACTCTCATCACCCGCTGTTGAGCCATCTTTGAAAGTTGTTGTTGGGTGTAGCTGTGACACATAAATATATGTTAAAGCATACATAAGAAACCTTTATATATAAATGGGAACAAACAAAAAATAATAATGATCACATTAGCAATATCCCTAATACAAGCATGAGAGTCATCTCAGGTTCCCTAATTAGCAGTTCATTCAGGTTTAATTATAGTGCAACACATTATGGTACCTAGGTACATAACCCTCATTCTTTATCGGAAAACAAAGCAAGTAAAAACTGTAAAATCCATTTGTTTTCACACTCATTTTGATTGCCAGGAAATTATAAGAAAAGAGAACTTGAAATGTCATATCTACCTCTAAAACCTCAACCAGAATAAGGTTCCTAACACTTTTCTGTGTCTTCTCAGCAATAAAGAGAGCAAATACAGTTACAATTTCAAAAACACTGCCAATTCCCCAATCCCCAACCAACCCTAGGTGCATACGATATATAAAACTGTACTAAATTACCTAGCATTGCTTGAAGATGGCCTCGAGAGAGCCAATTTATCAACACCAAGAGATTGTGCATTTGAATATAAATCCTTAGCTGTAAGATGCCTAAGACGCTCTTCCTCATAGATTTTCGCAGCCAAAAGATCTGCTGCTGGTTGCCTCAGCATATTATTAAAATCCATACCAATGGAAAACTGCTGATTCATTTCTGGTTTCGTCATTATAGGGGAGATATTATGTAGCTCATTTATCATCCTTTGTGTAGCCTGAGAATTAAATAAAGAACATCTCAAATGCATCATATTACAGGAAAATTTATTTATTTTTGTAAGTAAAATGTTGGTTAATTGAGAATATGAGACTTTATGCTATGCGTATCAAACAACCAAAATTATGATACAATAAAAGTTCAAATTTAGCAGAATAACACCTTATTAGAGGAGTCTTCATTGCCCTCTGGATGCTCTTGTAACCTGGAGGAATATATGTCCCAGAATACCCTCCACCATTCAGTCAATAAACCTTCTGAAGAATCGATCCCTAAAACAAACCCCAGATTTACAATCAATCGACATGTACCATATTCATCATGAATTACAGAATAGAGCAATAACGCCTCAGTAACTTAACAGAGGTAAAAAATAGAAAAGAAAATTAATTGAACCACATCCAAAGTAGTGCATTACACCTACCTTTCTGAGTAGCTACACTAGCCAACAATACAGTTCTAGTAAAGAATCAGATAAGAAACATTGGGACAGTACACACCCACTACAATATAGTCCTCAGAGTGTGAGATACCACTTGAGCGAGAGGGGTTCAGTGGTGGGAAATTACAAAATTTACAATGACCCATACACACACATCATAATTTCATAATAGAGTGCAATCAATTGATCAATTAAAAGCAATTCAAATCAACCTGAACCACATCCAAAGTACATTTTAATTCTTCCTAGAGTAGCTATATGCAATAACTCCATCCAATTCTTTTTTCTTGACAAAGAAGACAAAGGACAACGACCACCAAAGATTGTAGTACAGTGGTATCTCTTCTACTCCCAAAGGGAATGTGAGGGTCGAGTCCCCGTAAGGACAAATGGGTGCATGAATTTATTGCCAATAAGAAAAAAACAAAAGGCAACAACACATCACCCAAAAAAATATTTAAAAAATTAAAAATTAATAATAAATAAAACTAAGTAACAATAAACGGTATAAACCCCTGTACTAAGAAAAAGAATATGAATAGGTAAATACTCATAGCCAAGCATACATATGAATCCATCACTTTTTTTTTCTAGTTGATACTTCCACAGCCCTAAGATGATTGCATCAAATAGGAGTCAAACCTTAGACCCAATATTTCCTAAGGTACCATGGCATATTCTTACCAGGGGCCGAGCTAGGGGTGGGCCAGCAGCATGGCCCCCCAAACTTTCTTTAAAATTTAATTTATACCCCTAAATATTAATTACTTTGCCCTTAAAATTCATTAAAAATTTCAATTGGCTCCCTCAATTTTTTTTTTCAATACACTTACATTTTAACCCTAACCCAAACCCAAAATAGAGAATTTGAAAAAAAAAAACAATTAATTTGTGTCTTCTTGAAATTTAGTAATTTTTCAACTTGCGGAGATCCATTCGAACATAACAGCTTATGAGCAATACATTGGAAACGGGGTTGATCGAGGAAGCGAGTCATGAGGAAAAGAAGAAGACCTATATCTACTTGTTGGTTTGACTTTGTGAAGATTAGGATTGTTGAAAGGATCTTGAATTCAATTCTGAAACTGGACTGAATGAAGGGGAGGGTTCTTATTCGAGATGAGCACCTGAAGGTTCCTGAGGACTCTTTTTAACTATATTTTTAAAAACTCAAATTTAGGAATTTTTACCGTTGATGTATAAAACTTTCTAAAATTTCTTGCTCCGCCATGATTCTTACCCACTTGAGCCAACCCCCAAGGGTTAATCACCTCTCTCATGGATACACTCATAATTGATAAAATCAAGAAAGAAAAAGTTAATTAGCAAAAGAAAAGCAAGAGAATGTGGCCAAAAAGACTTACCAACAGGACCCTGACCAACATTGGCCTCTAAGGCGAATATATCTGCAGCCTTGTACATTTTGTTTTTCACCATATAATCATAAATGTACCTGTCAAGCCTATAAACCCCAAAGCATACACATACAAATTTAGCATCTAAGGTCAAAGAAAATAATAAAAACAAGAAAACCCAAAAAATTTAAATTTGTCAAAAAAATAATAATAATAAAAATAAAAATAAAAATAAAAATAATTAATTTATTGAGGCATATCAACTCACGTCTTTTGAGCATCCCAGTCTTTAAATGGGTCCATTTTATCCAAAACCACCCTTACAAGGGAAAGAAGAGGAAAGAACCAAGTGGGTTGTAACAGTAACCGATCGAATCAAGAAAACAAAACCAGAGTAAGATTAATGGGTTCAAGAATTAAATTAAAGTTAACCCATGACACAGCAAGACAATGAGAGAGAAATTTAGAGTTTAGAGAGAGATTGAACTTGGGTTTCTTAGTTGTTAAGGAGGAAGGAGTGGCAGTGCCATGCAAAACAGAAGAGAATAATAGGGACAAACAAGAAAAAGCTTCCAGATAGAGAGAGAAAAAGAAGGGGAAGAGAGAGGTTTATATAGTGGTGAGAAAGACGGTGGACCGTGTTTGGCACCATAGAGAAGGTGTACGGTGAGGTGTACGGATTTTGTGGACCAAGGATTGTATGGAAGTAATTCTATGTGATACGGAAGTCCTTGTTATTCGCCAACCAGCCAATCACTTCGTGCAATGACAATTTACAAGGGTATTATAGACAATTTACGAAATCACCAGTGCAATCACTAACCGTTTATTTTTTAAACTAAACATGTATTTGGTGAATCCCACTTCAGATACCTCTATCATTATGGTATAAGGACAAAATGTGTGTAATAAACAAGGATGAATTATTTTCATTTTTCAAAATTTTAAAAAATAAAATAAAATTTTGGATTAAAAAAAAATGCTTATTCTACTTTTTCTTGAAGGGTTTTAAATGTCTCATTATTTGGTAATTATCTGGAGCATATGGGATTAAAAAATTGCATGCGTCTCCAGAGTGTTTTAAGAAGCGTAATTAACCATATGTATATATATATGTGTGTAATAAAAATATATATAATACTGCTATACCTTAATTTTTTCTATTTTTTATCCTCTTTTTTTTTGTGAAAGAAAAGTCAAATTTGTATTTGTTAGTTCAATCGAAACATAAATGCAATTTGAGTTTGTTACAAAATGTAAATGCACTTTAATAACACAATCTCGGACTTGTGTTAGATTACCATCTATTATAGCAATTGCGGATTAATGATTATGAGTAAGTTGTTACCTGGATTTTATATATTTTGGAAAAGATTCTCCTACTCATAAATAATATATATATATATTGTTTCCATATTTTTGTATTGAGAAATTATATTCCCACTCTACATTTGGAGGCTTGCAAGATGTAAATAGTGGTTTTTAAAAAATGAAATGACATAATTGTCCTTCAAAAATGTTTTCACACTTCATAACTCATTTCTCTCATTGAAAAAATATATGTTCTTAAAACCTCTAAGAATGCGGCCGCATCAGATGGAATAAAAACAAAAAAAATGATGATGATGAGGCTAGCAATGGCATATAATGGTCTCACCATATTGTATCAAAGGCTTAGATATCTTTAATTTGGTCATTTATGTTAGATAAGTGCATATTGTACCAAAACGTTAGAGATAAAAACGTGAAATGACAATATGCTTTTTTAAAATTTTGTGAAAAAAGTCAAGTTTATCCTACTTTTCTTGGCTGTCTTTTTCTTAACCTATTCTCTGAGTTGTTGAGAGTTATCATTTAGTTTTATCCCTCTTATGCAGTTAGTGCTCCTAGAGTTCCATTATGTATGTGCTCTATTCTTTTTCAATTAATAAATAAAATTTACGTTTAAGAAAAAAAAAATTCAAATTTCAATTTATTTATGGTTGTCAAATATCAACTGCAATCCATCATGTTTTAATGTACTCTGCAAATTGAAATTTCAAATTTGAAGTTCGCACTTTGACCTTGTTCCAATGGATAATGACTAGAGGCTGAGGCATTAAAATAGTTCTGCTAAAAATGAATTGGAATATGGAATTACTCTTACTTGTCCAAGTACAGTTTGACATGTGATAGACTTTTCTGGAACAATTACTGAATTTAAAGACAAGCCCCACTTGAGTTTTTTGTTTTTTAATGTGTATATTTATAAATAGTATACACATAGATAAACACAATAAAATGTGTCATTATGACAATAATAATACTATAACAGTGTAGTTAATTAGTGTATATATATATATATATATATATATATATATTATATAATGGTATAAATGAGCATCGGACTTTGTATCTACTAATGTGGCAACTACTGTGTAAACACTTAAAGATATGAGATAATTCATCCTTATCATTTATTGATAACGAATCATTCATAGACTTTATTTATTTGAATCGCAATAAAACTAATTAGTTTTTTAATCATTATTATTATTATTATATATATATGGGTAATTCTCAAGTATTGAAACTTAAAAGTGTTATATATATTCATTTTGTTAAACAAAAAGCGACTCAATTAATATGTTAAAATCTTAGATAAATTATATTTTTTTAATAGGGATTGATCAACTTTAGAGACCTCTCTTTAAGGTTTTCAAATACCCCCAAAGATTATATTACTTAACTTAAATATATTTTTCACTTTTCAAAATAGAAGACTCAAGATTCAATTTGTCTTTATTAACTTGAAAAAATAGTTCTTTAACATGAAAGAATTTTAAGTTTTCAAAAAAATGGTTTGAGATCGCCTTCTGTAGTAACTTTGTACTAGTGTACACGAACTCAGGAATTTTTTTGAAGGGGTAGTGCATCGTCGAAGAATAAAAAAAAAAAAAAATGTAGACAAATTTGAAAAAAAAAAATTTGTGAAGTGAGCCATTTTAAAAATTGAGTGGGGGTAATTTTAAAATTTTAGCTAAAACTTTAAGTAATAATATAAAGGGTAAAGTGCATTAAACCCCACTGAACTATTGGGGTATATGCAAGAAACCCCCCTAAACTATAAAAGTTGCAAAAAAACCCCTTGAACTATTGGGATGTGTGCAAGAAACCCACCTGAATTATAAAAGTTGTAAAAAAAACCCCCCTAAACTATTAGGGTATGTGCAAGAAATCCCCCTGAACTATATATTTTTTTGCAATTTACCCCATCTGTGCGAATTGATTGACTGAAAGGGACGATGAAGCCGAGGAATTTGTTGCTGGGATCGGTGGGTCTCCTATCATAGCTCCATCATAGCCATGGCACCACCCGCCAGATCCGTCGGCCATATATATCTCATTTCTCTGCATCATTGCGTCAGCCCATCGTCGTCACCGCCTTGTCCTCTGTTTAGCTCACCTTGCTCGCCGGTCCATTCCACTGTCCATTCCAAGCTCGCCGGCCTATTCCGCCATCTCCATAGCCGAGCACACCGCCGTCCGTATTTCGAGCACATAGCCGTCTACAGTTCACCGCAGAGCCGCCTTGAGCTTGCTGCAGCCTCCACAGTTCACGACCGAGTCAACTGAGCTCTCATCACAGCAAAGTCCTCTGCGCACAAGCCGCCATCATCCGAGACCGAGCCATCCCGCCGACCTCGAATTTCTTTGGTCTCTTCTCTTTCTCTATCTAGCTCTCTGTTTTGGGTTGTGTTGGGTGAAAAACATCTTTTGGCAGAAAAAAATAAATAAATAAATAAATAAATAAAAAATAATAATAAATGTAAGAAGTGTATAAGTTAAAACGACGCAGTGTGTTATAAGGGTAAACTGGTCTTTCAAAATTTTCGGTACCAGAAGCTGATGTCATGGGGGTAAATTGCAACAAAATCATAGTTCAGGGAGGTAAATTGCATCAAAATCATAGTTTATGGAGGTTTTTTGTAGTTCAAGGGGGTTTCTTCCAAATGACCAATAGTTCAAGGGGGTAAATTGCAACAAAATCATAGTTCAGGGGGGTTTTTGTAGTTCAGGGGGGTTTCTTGTGACCAATAGTTCAAGGGGGTTTAATGCACTTTACCCAAACATAAATTAGAAAAAATCGAGTGGAGAAATTAGTAAGATAAAAATGTGAAGGGGGCATTTTAAAAAATTAAATGAAGGCATTTTTAAAAATTTAATTAAAATTATAGGTAATAATGTAAATTAGAGAAAATCCAGTAGGGGCGGATGCCCCCACTGGTCCTGAACTGGGTCCGCGCCTGAGTGTATATGATAGAAAATTATGACTTAGAGAATCCGTGTGTATGCGGATTATGCTCAATACCCCAAAAATTGAGAGTATGGTTACTACATTTTCTTTGGACATCAAATTAGATTTCATTGTGGGAAAGGGAAAAATTAATGAAGGACAAAAAAAAAAAAAAAAAATCACCTTAATAATGTACACTAAACTACTATAGCGGTCACAAAAACTAACTACTTTAAGAAAAACTATAAATAGTTAAAAATTTGAATATACTCAACTATTTTATGTGAGTAAAAGATGATATTAATATAACATCATTAAATTAATATGATGACATTATCATGACGTCATCTCATACCCAAGTAAATTTAGTCGAATGTGTTCGACTCTCGAACTGCTTAGTATCATTACTCTTATTTTAATGTAATCATGACTCTTTAGAGCTATGCATAACATAATAAAAATCCAAGTTATATTAACAAGAGTGGTTACCATTATTCAAGTGTACATAAGATTTTATCTTTTGATGTGTTAAATAATTAGGGTTTCTCACATGACAGTATCCCAATGTATTATCCTAAGGTTTCAAGTTCGAGTTTTGATTTAAGCAATATTATGTGATTTGATAATAATTTATATTCAGAATCTACATTGAATTCAGTGGTGGACAGTGGAGGAGACCGACGAAGATCAGCAAATCTAGAGTGCAAGAGGTCGCGTATGTTGTTAGGTTTTAAAGTTTGTTTGGTGCTTGCTAGTTTAGAATAAAGCCTTTAAAGGTTGCTAAAGTGACTCCTGCATCCCCTACAATGATTCTTAAAAAGGATAATTAGACTTACCTCATTTGTAGATTGTCTAAATAATATGGACATCCCCTATAGTTTCACAAATAACACTGACCTCACATGTCAGTGTTGACTTTGACCCAAACATATTAAATGACTATTATACTCATTGTACTTTTATTAGTTCAAAATATAGATAAAATAACATTTTCAAATTTTTTAAAGGCATTATCAAGTTGTAAGTAAATTTTGAGTATGCAGACAAGAATGTTATATTTTATGACACGTGAGATCATTGTTACTCTGGCCGAAAAGATAGTGTTATATTTACACTATGATGTCTCTGTTATTTAGGCAATCCACAAGGAAGGCAAATATAACTACCGCGAACGAAAAACACCGATATGGTATGCATATGGAGTGCATAACCCCCCTATATATTCTAAAAGGTATATAACATTCAATTTTGGAGTAAACAATGATTCGAATGCTGAAAAGACTAAAGTGTCCATTTATAACTGAATAAAAAAATAGGTAAAAAAACTAATTAAATGTGAAATAATTAAACTATCCCTCTTTTTTATATATAATATAGGGTTGCGGGCCAAAATACCCATATGGTATGCATATAGAGTATATAACCTCTTATATATTCTAAACCTCCTTAACATTCAAATTTGGTACAAATAAGGACCTGAATGCTGAGAAGACATAAGTATTCATCTACAACTGAATAAAAAATAGGTAAAAAAACTAATTAAATGTAACAAGTGTGTTTATATATAAGAGAGGATATTATCGAAAGAGACAATAGTATTTTAAAATTTTATATCTTAAAAATGTCATATGCAATGCACATGAATAAATTTTTAAAGAAACAATGATATCAAGCCCTTATTTGCCGCATTTTTTCAAACTTAACGGACTTATATACTCAAAATAAAGAATAGGAGTGTTATTTGCCCAAAATGTAAACATTAGGGGTGTTTTTCTCACTTTGCCCTTATAAGGGCATTATAGGAAGATAAAAGGGTATTTTTTAAATTTTATATCTTAACACCAACTTCAAGTCCTTTTTTGCTCATTTTTTAAACCTAACAGACTTATATACACAACATAAGTTATTTTTTGCTCATTTTTTCAAACTTAACAGTGTCATATACCCAAATAAATGATAGGAATGTTACTTATATAAAATTAAAATATTTATGGTGTTTTTCTCGCCTTGCCCTATAACTAATTATCCATTCTTTAAACGTAAACTGTATAAACATAGTTTTGGTGTTTATAAAATCGCGCCTTAAGCTACAAGCCTACAATATAAGTTTAAGAGTGTTTGGTTATTTAAAAACAAAACAAATATTAACAAGCATGTTCTCGATCTCTAAATCTGGTTACATAAACTATAGATACCAAACATGAATGGTTACCACAAATTGGTATCAATTTTTTTAAATTTTTTTTTTTTTTGGTAAATAAGAAATCCATTGAACAAAAGAATAATTTTCACATATTATCAACATAGTATTTTAAATAATATTAATTCTATTAATGTATAGTTTTCATTTTTATGTGAGATTTAAATTTAAACTTTATGGGATACTTTAGAGAATTATAAAACAAACCTAAGACACATCAGTGTTCCATTTATTATTATGGGTAAAGTACAACCACACGCTTTGAGGTTTGACAAAAGAATACTCAGATGAAACTTACCTATTTTTTGAACAAAGTGATTCCTTTAAATGAGAAATTGACCAAATTACCATTTAATTGTTTATGAAAATTTTTCAACTTTACAATTTGATAAATTTGACCAATCTGCCCTCATAAACAATTTATGCATAAATTTTTTTTTTTAAAAAATAAAGTGTCTCTTCTCTCTCAATAGTTTGGAACAAAGGAGTCTGGCGCACTCAATAGTTTTCAAGAATGGGTTGAGTGTGAATGGTTATGTGGCTCATTCATCGATCACAATGTATTCAAGATGTGGTGAATTGGGTTATGCCCGGAAAGTGTTTGATGAAATTAGGGAGAGAGATAGTGTCGTAGTTGTGGCTATCCAAGAAGAAATGTAGAAGGGTGTATTTTGCACAGGGGTTTAGTGCAATTTAAAAACAAAATAATATTATTTACTAGCAAAAATAATATAGAAAATAATATACTCCGTAAGGCTTAGTTTTTTATTTTTAACTTCCGCAAGACTTATTTAGTTAGATATGGAAATAACGATAAAAGAAAAAATAAATAAATAAGAAAGGAAAAGAAAAATAAATTGCAAAGGACCTCTGTGACGTTAGTAGCCAGCCAACAGTCGCAAACTCGCACTCGCACCATACCACTTTTCAGAACCATATATATCGAGGAGGAGGAGAGAGAGAGAGAGTCCATTTTACAAGAAAAGCATCAAGTTTTTGCTTGCGAAGATGGACCACGAAGCTGCGCAGGCAGAGAAAATAACAGAAAACCCCACTCATCTCATCAACACATTCTATGAAATCACCTCTTCGTCCAAAGAAGAAGCTCTTTTCTTCTTGGAGAGCCATAATTACGACCTAGACCTCGCCGTCTCCAAGGAGCTATAATGCATGGTATACAAATGAGGAAGAGGGCGGTGGCGGTGGCCGTTGGCCAAACCATCGCCGCCGTCTGGTCCATTGAGAGAGAGAGAAAGAGATATTAGGTATTGAAAGAAGTTTTTTTTTTTTTTTTTAATTTATGCATAAATTGTTCACGAGGATAGATTGGTCTAATTTATTAAATTGTAAAGTTTAAAAAAGTCTCTAAAACGGTTAAAGAGTAATTTGGTCAATTTCTTATGTAAAAATGTGTCTTTGTCTATTTTTGAACCTTCAAAGAGTGATATTGTCCAAAAGATAGATAAGTTTTCTCTCAATGTCCTTTACCAAACCTTGGTGGTGGTGTGATTATACTTTACCCTATTATTATTGTTCTTTTCAAAAAATAAATAAATAAATAAATAATCGAAGAGACATAAAGTAATACAGTAATTAGTTAGATTCTAGTCTTTCTAGGAATTTCGATAATTTAGAGAATATATGATAGGCTATAAAAATAAACATTAGGTCCTCTGTAAGTTGTAACTATCATATATTTTCTTTTTTTTACTCATTGAAGGATCTTAATCTAGGATTTGGAGTGTTAGAAATAAAATAAATAAATAAATAAAGTAATTGACATATTTTGGTACTAATATGATATTAAAAAATATTTAGAGTCCTAGCAAGTCCTAGGCCTGACTTAATCCAAATAAGTTATGACCACCTAACATGAGATTAAACATATTGTTCAAAACTAAGAAGTAGATGTCTAGTTACTTTGGCATGAAATATGACCAAAAAAAAAGAAGTAAAATTTTGTATAGCCAGAGACCAAACAAATAAATAAATAAAGCAAAAGAGTCCCATTCCAAATCTTTCTATGGAGTTTTGTTTAGATATCCAAAAATATTAATTTTGATTATAACTAAAAGTTAAACAAATTACTCAACCATTATGAATTAATTAGAAAGCTAATACATGCTTAAGATTTTGAAAATGAGATTCAATCCACGGGAAGGGAAAGTACACAAGCATTAACAATTATGAAAAGTATAAAATTCTTCTAAATATGAACATAGCAAAACACACTACAGTTTATCATCGCTATATTAACTGTTTAATTTCTTAAACATTGAGATAATTCTAAAATAAATTAAAATGAAAATCTATATTCTAAGAAAATTAACCATTGATCGACATGTTTCTTTCAAATTAAACCAATTAATGTAAGAGCAAAAGTAATATTGTTGTTCAAAAGTAAAAATCATTTAATGTCATGTTTTGGAGCACTGAATCAGTGTTTGAATTTTGAATTACAAGAAATTTAATTAAAATTTTGAATTGAATTTCCTACAATTTCAAACTTAATGAGCCAATTCGTACTTCCAAACCTAACATAAATATTTTCTCTTTATTTCTTGTCTTAATAGTACGGCAACTGAGATGAGGTAGAATTTGAACTTTAGGACAACAAAATGCAGTAGCAAAACAAGTGTATATAATCAGAGACAATTAATTATCCACATTTCATTTCACTTTCCCTTCCTCTCATGATGTGATCATGATTGGAAACAAGTAATCATCACTAAAATTGTAAAATAAAAAATAAAAATAATGTGATGGTTAAATACCTCACCAAGGACATATAACATAGTAATATTATCTGTAAAACCAGAAGATTAAAAAAAATAATAATAAAATAAAATAAAATCACCCTAGTGAGATATAACAGTCAGAATAATTTGATTTTTATTATCACCAGAAGTGACAAAATGGACCACCAATAGTACTGGTGCAACTACAGACACAAGGAGAGCCCCTATCACCCCAAAATCCCTAGCTGATAATTAAAAACCACAAAACTCCAATCACATGACAAAAATCAAAAAATGTGAATGGGACAAGCTACCACATTCAAATGGTGAATATTAAAAAGATGAATAAATGGTTGCTTATATTTCCCGGGAAAAATATATATATATATATCACCAAAAACTTCTTTTCTTTTCTTTTTTTCCCCGTAAATAATATATCTATCACCCAAAACTCTTCATCCATCAACACTATATTTTCTCTCTCTCTCTTCTGCATGCATGCGATGAACTTCTATATATATATATATATATATATATATATCCTCAATTAGTATACCTAGCACACCTTGAAATGCGACTGCAACCCCTCCTATAAGGATTAGCCCTTCCTCTCTGATTGCAGTTGTAGTATGACTGCCCACGCCGGTTGCATGGAACCCTATTCGCCCTCAATGAGTCGTAGCTAATGTATCCCCGGCCTCCAAGAAACCGCCGGTGATTCTCATTATCCGACATCATCTCCTCAGCTTTCGTAATGCAGTCACCAACATTATGACCACTGCAGCCATTTCCATTGCCACTGCCACCACCGGAACGCGGTGAGTCACCATCTAACCTAAACGAAGAATCAGCCACGATGGCCAAGACCATGAAGAATATCAAACCAATCCGAAAAGTACCCATTAATCCTAAGCTTGAAACAACAACTCTATAGAAAGAGATAGAGGTTTTAATTAATTTTTTGTTAAATGGTTGATTAAATTTGTCTCTGCCCTTCCTGTTGAGGGAGGGAAAGAGAAGATGAATGGAATATAGGGAAAAAAAATATTAAGATTGGCTGGTAGATAGTGAGGTTCTAAAGAGGGTGAAAAGTAGAGAAATTGGATGGTTGGGAGTTGATGGAATTGGTTATTTTTCAGTGATTTAACCTATTTTTTAGGTTATACCCGTTCATTGCTCCTTGTTTTTCTATCAACTGTGAATGTCAAAATAATGATTAGCCAAGCGTTTGATGAGCTGCAAAAATTCAATAGATTTAGTTGGAATAATGTTATAGTGTGTAACCGATTCTTATGACTTCTGCTGTATAAATTAACCAAAAAATTGTAGGTCAACTGAATTCTCCGAGTCAAACTAGCTTGTTGCTAATTTACTGACATTATCAGTGAAGTCCAATTAATTTTATTTATAATGTATAATTGTTTTTCTCAGAAAAATAAAAATAGAAATTAGTTAGAATTACTAAACTAATAGAAATTATATGAGCGACTCCTAGGTCGGAAGTTCGAATTTTTTTGGAGCTTTCCTAGAAAGAAAAAAAAAAATCAATAATTGTTCAGTGCATATGAGATGGAGCATTACATTTGTTGATCATTGAATCTCTAGAGAAATAGAAATTAGCTGGACGATTGGGTTGGACTCCAACTTTTCTTTTCAGGGCTCGATGTCGGGCTGGCCCAACCAAGATTGGGTCTCAATTGTTCTATCAAGCCATACTGTCATAGTTTGGAAGATATGTCCAAGTCTGGTAGATTGGATTTTGGGCCATATTGAGCCCAATTAATGTGATTGATGGGCTGGGCTTCAGATAATTTTCAGGTCCAGACTTCTTTATGGATGATCAAATTTGGGCGGGCTCCCAAATTTGAGCGACCCGAGCTCAATTCAAATCCTTGTTGTGTTCAAGCAGTGTATTTGAGATCTTGGGTTCAAACTTTTGAGTTCGGCTCCATTTTGATCATGTTACTAGAACTTACGGTTATATATTATCACAATATATAATTTGGTTGCTTGTATACAATTTATCATGATATAGTATGATCGGTTTGATAACTTTAATTGCAAGTTATATAAAAACATTTGCAATGTTTAATGGACAGATCTAACAATGTTTTTCTTTTTTTTGAAAATTTATCTATCGGCACGTTATATTGACCTCTTCTATAACTTGTTCAGCTTGCGTAAATTTTTAAAAAAAAATCTAAGCAACTTGTACGAGGCGATGTGTGCTAAGATTTTTTGGATTTTGGATTTGGCGTGAGCTGAGGGGGTCAATACATTAAGCATGTTATGTAACATGCATTGACCTCTTAATCAGTGTAAATCACACCACCACTTTTTTAAATAAGGAATGGATAACCCTATTCAAAAATGTCTAATTTTGAGTTCGACTTGAGCTGAGGGGTCAATATATTAAGGTTATCATGCATTGACCTCTTAACCCGCTCGAATCCCACCGTCACCTTTTTTAGAAGGGATGGAGAAACCTCTCCAAAAACGTCCTCTCTCAATAATAGAAGAGGAAAGAAAGGAATAGAGATGAAATGTGTGATATTTTAGATTTTGGGCATGGGGAGAGCTGAGGGGTCAATACATTAGGTCTATCTTGCCCTGACCCCTTAACCAGTGTGAATCCCACCACCAGCAATTTGAGAAGGAGCAGAGAAGCCTCTCCAAAAATGTCTTTTCTCAACCATAGAAGGACTGCATAACCCTTTCTTTCCTTGTCAATGGAACACGAGAGAAAGGGATAGCTTTTCTTTATATTTCACAATATTTTTCTCTTATCCTCCTTTCATACTATCTCATGTGCATAAAATGTAAGGCTCTAATGCATTTAAAATAAATTAAAAAAAAATAAAATTAAATGACGTATTTAAGTGGAGCGAGTTGATTCTGATTTTTTTTTAATACGTCTTGACGAATCAAAACGAAATTGTTGAAACTATATCCAAAAATGTGTCGGCTTCATATTGGCTTTCAGATAACAAACATTTGCGTAGTTTTCGACAAACCTACAACTAAGTGGGGAAGGAATTTGAGCACATCTATGAAAAAATATATATATATATATTCAACACCCCCACTTGGACGACCACTGACACGAGTCGCACACAACTTCAGTGCACGAATAGTATAAAGTGAGAAACTGAATGAACACAAGCTAAGCTAAATAGCTTTTGACATTATTTGATCCAAACTGATACCACCAATCTCAAACTTACATTCAATTCTCATAGCATCTTCTTATGACTTCTTTTACAAAGTCTATATATATATATATATATATATATGTGTATGTATGTTTATTGAAATCATATGAACCCTTTATGCTCCATTTGCCTTTTTAAAAGAAAAGGAAGGTAAGTGGTTAAAATGATAAGAAAACATCGACTTTCTTTCTAAAGCATTTTTGTGCATTGTCTCTTCTTTTAAACTTTATCTAGGCGCGCAAAGAGAAAGCTAGTATGTCACTACTAGTATTTTTCTGAGTTCTTGTTATAATTTTATGTATTTTTATAGATGGTGCTTTCTGTTCTTTAGAATAATTTTATTTGCACTGTACCGACAAGAGAAACTAAAGTGTTGATCGAGCTAATTTCTTGCGTCCTTGGATGCTTGATGGGAGATTCACATACTTATGTCCCGTTTGGTTGGAGCGATAAGAAAAATAGATAGAATGGAAAAGAAAAGGGATGACTGAGGCATCATGTGAAAAAGAAGATGTCTCTCTCAAATTTTGTTTGGTTGAATGAAATAGATAGTAGAAATGATAGATGAGGTGAAACATTATTTTTATTTGGTTGGAAGGAATAGAAAGAAAGTTTTTAGATTCTTTTTTATAAAAATTCTATATCCACTCCAAGTTCATAGTTCGATTAGAAATAGAAAATACATATTTTTGTTAATTGTTACTTGTTTCTATCTCCTCTTCCTCCCAAATTTGGCCGGATAAAAAAATACAAAAGAAAGGAGGGATGCTTCATCTTCCCCTCTTTGCTTCCTCCCTCTTTTTCCTTTTTTTCAATCAAACATGAAAAAGTTGTTTTATTCACTCTCCCTTCAATCCCTCTCTTCAACCAAATATAGTCTATGCAAAGAGATCAACTAGACACTTCTAATATTTTGGGCAAGTGTAAATAATAAATTTTTTTAGTATCCCCGTAAAAATTGACATCGCTAATTAATTATTTAAATAAAAATAATATATTTTTATAAATCATATCACTACATATTGATATTTAATTAATCAGTTCCTATTATTATCTTTTCTTATTTAAAAGTTTTTTTTTTTTCCACACCTCAACCCCTGGATGTTTTTCTTGTGGAGAGTAATATGATTGATATCTAGCCTGGCACTATGGTGAGTCACAGACGTTGAAAAAGTAGACTCGTGACTCACAAGCATTTAAAGGTCCCATCTGTGGTCAAACTTGTCATGCTTGAATTAGCTGTTACACTATGTTTTCATTTATGAACTGTTGAATATGTAGTTTGCACCTTATGGACCAACCCATTGTTGCTAATAATGAAGAAAATGAACTTTATTATTGGCAAATGAAACATTGACCAAACAGTGCACATGAAATTTTCAAACATTGCAATCAATTATCCACCAACCACAGGCCCAAAGTCTACAATTCTTGCCCATATAAACTAAATAAAAACTAGACAAACCAACAAAACACAAAGAAGCCATCCCCCACCACCATGTTTCATACCTTCTCATTCCCCCGCTCCCATAAATACATGATTTCGACTCATTAAAAGTTTAATATACAAAAATAATAATAATAATAATAATAATAATAAATAAATAAATAAATTATATCAAGTTGACACATTTACTTTTGTGTCAAATTGTGATCAACCACGAAGCTGACATAGAATCGGTGGGGAGGAATGCCCCCACTGGAATTTTTTTATTTTGTATTACTGTTTATGTATTTTGTTAAAATTTAAAAAATGTCCCCACTCAATTGTTATTTAGGATAAATTACATAAAGCTCCCCTACGATTTGTCATAATTACATAGACTTTCCCTGTAGTTTGAAAAATAACTCAGACCTCCCCCCTAAAAATGAAACTAATCTACACAAATCTAAAAAATTGTCTAATTTTTTTGGATCTAAAATATACTAAAGTAATCCGGCTCTCTCTCTCTTTAGGGTGTGTTTGAATGGGATGATTTGGAGGGATAGAGTGAGAAAAGAATAGAAATGATAGGGTGTGAGTGTGCTTTGGTGGGTTAAATGAAGAGACAATGGAGGATAGGGAGAGATAGGGAGGAATAGCTTTCTCTCCAATTAGTTATCCATCCCTATCCCTCATTTGCTTTCTCTTTCTCTCCAATTTTGAAGAGAAAGCAAATGAGGGATTTTAGTTGTATTTTGATAATATCAAAAATAACCTTCACAAATCAATATACAAATTTGTTATTCCATTCAAGTCCTAATAATTATAAAAGGGTAGGACAGTAATTTGGTTATTATTCTCTCTTTTCTTTTCTCTCATCTATCTTATCAAAATAAGAATGACTATCATTTCTTTTCTCTTATTCCCTGTATATCCAAACATGAATAGAAATTATTACTATCCTTTCTTTTCTTTTATTTTCTTTTCTTTCCTAACTAATACTATTCTTCTTTTTTTCTTTCTCTCCTATGTATCTAAACGCACCCTAAGTAATCAGGTTCTTATGATTATTATTTTATGTTTTAAAAAATTTATCTTTAAATTAGTTTTCTTCAATGGCACCCCTTCTCAACAAAATTTATGGGTCAATTGTTAGTTATGGTTGACCAAAATCATATAGTGTAGTAAGTTTTCCACACGATAAATACTCTCTCTCTCTCTCTCTCTCCCCCCTTCCTTTTTCTTTTCTTTCATCATCACAAGTGCCACTTCCCTCCCACCTTCACTTCCTTGTGTCTCTATTCATTTTGGTCTCTTTTGAGTCAAAAAGAGAGATGGAGGGTGTTTGATATAGAAAAAAAAAAAAGAAAAGAAGAAGAAGCAAAACTACCTATGCATGATTTCTTTACACCAATTCAAAGTTACATTAATTGCTTTTCCTCTAAGTCCACATATAAAATTTCGTGTGGTTGAAAGTAGTGTTCCAATTTGGTCATTCAGACCATTAAATTGGTAAATTTATTGCAATCGTTTAATTTTAACTTAATGACAGCTTCAAGTCGCCCATTTCTGAATACTATAATATCTCACATGATTTAATATAATAAGATTGAAAAAGTAAACAAGGTCATGTATAATGTATAATTAAAGGTTTTGAGTCTTAATCTTTTCACAACTCATTAGATATCTCAACTCATAAAATTACTTGTACTACATATATATATATATTATAATTTTTAAAAGGTCAACACTCACTCGATTGAATAGGACCCCATACATATTAATAGATGTTTACTTTTCCACCATGAACTATGGACCACAACAGTAGATCTAACCCACCAAAAAAATAAATAGAATTAAAATAAAAAATAAAATAAAATTGTTATAATAGAAAGAAGGAAATATTGTGGTTAATAAGAAAAAGAGTTTAATTTTCTAATCGGAATAGCGTGAATGATGGCAAAGATTCTCGATTCATTGTTGGGAGTTTGAATTCCCTTGAACTTATAAATAAAAAAATGAACCGATTTAAGTCTCTCTTTTACAAGTCATCTAAATATCTCAACTTTTAAAATTACAAATAATACAAATATTTTTAACAAAGAAGAATAGTTCAACACTCACTCATTTTTTTTCTTTTTTTTTTAAAAGGTAAATTGAGTAAGTGAGATCAACACTCATTTATTGAATACGACCCCATACATATTAATAGATATTTCCATTTCCACCGTAGACCACAACAGAAGATCCACCTCACCAAAAAAAATAAAATATATAAAATAAAATAAAATAAGTTTTTAAAATATGTGATGTTTAAATTTTTTTTGTTAGCTGCGGAAATGTTTTTAGTGATTAAGTTTCATTCTTTGTGCTGTTTTTCCTTGTAATATTTTTACTTTTTAAAATATTATCTCTAGATTTCGAAAGGTGCAATTTTAATTCTACAATGCACCACCTAAATATATGTGATTGTTTAAAGTTTAAACTATGTGATGTTTAAAATTTTCACATTTTAAACTGTTTTTTCTATTTTCCAATATTTTTAAAGAACTAAACAGGTCTGTAACTATTGTAATACAGAGCAAATGATGTAAAAATAATAATGAATTTAAAAATATATATACAGATCAACAAATTTAGTCCCATTCAACAGAGCTAAAATCTGTTTTTCAGAAGTTGAAAATTGAAAGCAACCTTTGTATTTTGTAATAAATTTTGTGGCTCACGTGGGCCGCATAATATAGATGGAAAGTCAATATGAGAAAAAAGTACAAAAAAATAAAGCATACAAATTATTGTTTTTAATTACTTTCATGTCCACATCGAGTGATATAGTATCATAGTAATTTTAAAAAATAATTACTTACATGTCATACTGACGTTCGTATCAATCATTTATCATTTATAAACGAACAATGCTTGTTTTATGTTGCATAAAAAAGAATTTCTTTCTTACGATGAAGTGTCCAAATAAAACATCAACAGGTGTTTAAGTTTTAAAAGAAAAAAAATAATTACTGCAGGCAATAGAAACTGTCTCTTTCCTCTTTCTCTTTCAATATATTATTTCTAAATTTTGAATCTAAAATCAAACATTATTATGGAGAATATATATATATATATACACACCACAAATTATAAAGAGTTGGGTCAAGTGGGAGGAATGACCCTAAGCCTACATTGGCTTTATCACGAATGATGATGTTCCCTCTCTCAAATACAAAATTACATATTATATATAAGTATGAATGACACAATATACCAAATTAAATAACTTTTTCGATAGAAAATTTTAACAAATCTATTTTTATTATTTTTATTTGGTGATAATCATCTTTAAACAATTAAATTTGGATGAGAAGTTTGTAATTAGATACAAAAGAAAAGAAGATGAATATGGAATGTTTTGAAATTTAGGAAAGATTGGGATGAGAAAAGAAAAGAAAAATAAAAGAAGATGAACATGAAAATTTTAAAAATTTATACATAAGCGAAAAAAAAAAAAAAAAAGAGGAAATTTTTAATTTCTATATCAACGAAAAAACCTAGAAAAAAAAAAATAATAAGTGGCTAATAAATAGAGTGCCAGTCTTTCACAATTCGTATCATGAAAATAAATTTATGATAAATATCATTCTCCATGAATTTATAGTAATTATTTGTCCCAACTCTCATGTATGACTGAAAGATGCCGATCTAATATATATATTTTCTTCATAACAATGTTCGATTTTAGATTCAAAATACAAAAATAATATATATCGCTGCGTGAGAGAGAAAGGCAATGGTCAGTTTCTATTGCCTATAGTTATCATTTTTTTTTTTTTTTTCATTTAAAATTTAAACACCTATTGATATTTTATTGGACCACCTCATCATAAGAAGGGGGTTCCTTCTTATGCGGTTTAAGGCAAGCATTGTTCTTTATAAATTCAAACCTTTGATATTTTTACCTGTGTTTAAATAAGTAGCAAATGAGAGAGCAAACCTATTTTTGTGATAAACCCTCAATTATGTTATTAAATCTATTCCCCTTTTGTTATGCAATTGTACCCGCCATTTCATTTAAGGCAAGTTAGGTTAGATGAAAAAAATAAAAATAATAAAAAAATTAATTCTTTGTGAAAGTTTTTTGAACTTATAATAATATCATTCTTATCAAGGTAGGTTTTGTGCTATTTAAATTATAAAATAATAATTTTTAATACACGACGAAAATTTATTTTACTTTTACTTTTCATCTGAAGCCTTAATGGAATACAAAATCTTGCGTTAGGGTAGAAAATTAAACCCTTTTTTCGATAAATTATTACATAATTGGATAATCATTAATCCCGACTAATCACTAGTTAACACATAAGTAAATATATCAATTTTATTTAACTTTTTGCTTATGTATCAACTAGTGGTTGATCTGGTCTAGGACCATGTATGAAACAATTATTGAGAAAATTGGTCTAAAGAGGATTCAAACTATTGACTTGTAAGATGTGAGTTGAGAGTTTTTGTTGTTACGCTATTCTGGTTAAACAAATTAAACTCTCAATCTTTATGTCATCTTTGTGTTACATGCACGGAATAATTTTTGAAAAAATTCTCTCAATTGGTCTTAAGGGGATTCAAACTCCCCGCTTTTAAGACATGAGCGAGTTTTGTCATTATGCTATTTCGGTTAGAAAATTAATTTCTCAATCTTTGTGTTAGCTTTGTGTCACAGAACAATTATTGAGAAAAATCTCTTAGTTGGTCTCAAGGGGATTCAAACTCCCTGGCCTTTAATATGTGAGCTGAGAGTTTTTGTCGTTAAGCTATTTCGGTTAGAAAATTAAACTCCCTATCTTTGTTCAGCTTTGTGCCACATGCACGTAACAATTATTGAAAAAATTCTCTTAGTTGGTTTCAACGGGATTCCGTCTTTTAAGATGTGAGCTGAGAGTTTTTGTCGTTACGCTATTCCATTTAAAAAATTAAACGCCCAATCCCTGTGTCAGTTATGTGCTACATGCACGGAACAATTATTGAGAAAATTCTCTCAGTTTGTCTCAAGGGGATTCCGGCTTTTAAGATGTGAGCCGAGTGTTTTTGTCGTTACGCTATTCCGGTTAGAAAATTAAACGCCCAATCTTTGTGTCAGCTTTATGCCACGGAAAAATTAGTGCAAAAATTTTCTCAAGTCTCAATTCAAACTCTCGGCTTTTAAAATGTGAGCTGCTATTCCGGTTAGAAAATTAAACTCCCAGTCTTTGTGTCAGCTTTATGTCATAGAACAATTATTGAAAAAAAATTCTCAGGTCTCAATTCAAACTCTCGGCTTTTAAAATGCGAGCTATTATTTCAGTAAAAAAATTAAACTCACAATCTTTCGGTCAACTTTATGCCACATGCACGGAACAATTACTGAAAAAAGTCTCTTAGTTGGTCTCAATTCAAACTCTCGGCCTTTAAAATGTGAGTTGCTATTTCGGTAAGAAAATTAAACTCAATCTTTGTGTCAGTTTTATGCTGCATGCACGAAACAATTATTGAAAAATTCCTCGATTGGTCTCGAGTGGATTTAAATCAACGTTAAAGATGTGAGCTGAGAGTTTTTATCATTACATAAGTAAGTTGGAGAATGTGTGTATAAAATTTTCTATTTTCAAACTAAAAAATATGTTTTCATCCAGTGAAGTACACTGTACTCAATTTTTTTTCCAGCACGGTACACCAGGCTTTCCTGGCATCTTTTCCTATGTCACAATGATAACGAAAGAGTCTGAATGACTAGAGATTCCATGCCCATTTCTCTACTACTGTATTTTATTGACAGATACCCCTTTTGCCAGACCACTTTGTGCCTTTTTCCTCATTCATTCGTACACCCACATAGTCCATTTCTCTTTCCAAAATTTGATATGTTAATATATTAAAAAAAAAAAAAAAATGAATTAGATTTTTTCAACCAAAAATAAATAAAAATTTGTATTGGATCTTGTTCATTCATTCCTTCCTTCATCAATCCATTTTACAGAGAGAGAAAGTGACGAGAGAGAGAGAGGGAGAGAGAGAGAGTATGCAATTATCCCGCACAAACTCATTACAATCCTTAATTATATTTCAAGTACCAAAAAAAATTAATCTTAGAGATACAAAAATTAAAACAAAAAAAAAAAACACAGATATACAATTGGAACAAAGAGACTCTCTCTATATATATCTTAATAATAGCCCATTGCAAATTTATAACAACATTTGCCACATTAAAGCCCAATTATATATATTTATATATAAATATATAATCATACAGTAACAAAACTCGTTTTAAGAAGAAGAAGAACCTGAAACTCGGGGCGATTTGACCGGAAACAGAGGCAAGAGTCGGGGCTCGGACTCTCTCGGAGTACTCGCCGGCGATGGATGCAAATAAAAACCCTTTTCCGCAATCGCTTTGTTCTCAGCTTCCATATCCAAATTCGCACTGCCTGGGTTGTGTGGAGATCTGTTAAACGGGTCGGGTATCAAAGGAGTGACCGGGCTGAGAACCAGCGACGGGAAGTCAAGCATGCTCGGCGACAGGATCTCCGGCTGGTTCGGGTTCCGGGGAGAGAACCCGGGATTGTGAACGAGGAAGGGGACGAGTGGGCTGATCTTGAAGTTCTTGAGGCTGTTTCTTCGCTCGTAGAGCTTGGAAGCTGCTTTCTCTTTCATGGGTCCGGTCTTGATGGGCGGAATCGGATTCTTAGGCGGGTCGGGTTTGGCGGCGGCGGCGAACTTCGCCGTCTCGGAGGATCCGGTGAGCATTTGGACTACTTGTTTGAAGGAGGAGGTGTCTGCTTGGACGAAGGTTGTTGGGTATGGATTGTTGGGCTCCGATCTGGTGATGGGTCTGGGTGTTGTTGGCGATGGTTGTGGTGGTGGGTGGTGGTGGAGTCCATTGCTGCTGCTGCTACTGGTTGTGCTATGGGTGCTAAGGCTGTTTGGGGATGGTATCAGAGATGGGTTTTGAAAATCTTGAGGTTTTGGTGAGTGTTCCATTGATGGGTCTGGTTTTAGAGAGAGAAGGAGAGGGTTTTAGAGAGAGAGAAAAGTGAGAGAGTGGGTGAAGACGAAGAAGAGGAGCCAGACAGAGGGTGTGAAGAACAAACTTTGATGAAAGATTAGATGAGATGAAAGTTTGGCATTTTGCTTGCCTTGTCACTTTCTTTGGTTTGGTAAGAAATGTTTTGTTGGGCACTTTGAGTCTCTAACTCTAAAACGTACGCACCCTTTTACTTGCATTATTTCACGCGCTGCCCTTATATTTGAAAATACTTTTTCCAAAAACATAAATAAATAATAAAATTGAAAGAAATATAATCAATATATTGATACGATTACTTTATATCAAGAGCGAGTTTAGAAATTATGAATGGAGTGGATTAACATTTTTTTGGATGGACTAATAGTAGTAATAATATATATATATATATATATATATATATATATATATATATATATATTGGGCTGGACTAAAATTAGGTATAGTAATTTTATTTATTTATTTTTAAGCCCACCCAAACTCACCCCTGAATCCGCAAAACAAAAAAGGGCAGTAGTAAAGAAAGGTGCGTTCTATTTGATTAATTTGTCACTCCGAAAATAGTTTTTGTTTTTAGAAAACTAAAAATACAAAACCTTTGTTTGGTTCAACATTCTATGTTATAAAAAAGTCGGTTTTTAAAGAATTGTCTCCTATAGTTCTCTGAAAAAAAAATTATATTTTTTGAATTTTGAAAAACAGTTTACAATGTTAGAAACTAAGAAAACTCTAAGATTATTAGATATATATATATATATATATTTTTTTCATACTGCTAAACAACTAGCATGTTGGTCAAGATTGAACCACACACGCATATGATTCGCCTGTGATAAAATTTTTGAATTTGTGTGAACTAGCGATCGCTAAGTGAGGATGCTGGAAGTAAAGAGATATATACTTGACCCACTCCAAACCTTGCAATAATTAGAGTCTGATGCACTGAATTGGCTCTTTTATTGTTTAATGTAGATTTAGTAATATTTTTTTTTTCCTTTTTGGGGTGGAGTGGCATAGGGTTTAGCCAAATCCATCCCAACTCCGCCCATTGCCATCTCTAACTAGAGTTAAGGTTATATATAGTTGACCTCTTCATACTATACAATAATGAGAGTCTCGTGTATTGAATTAAATATAGTCGGTTGTTGGATTTAGCAACAATTTTTTTCTTTTCTTTTTGGGGTTTTTGTTTTTTGTTTTCTTACCATGCTCTCGTAGGTGGGGTAATGGGATTGGAGTGTGGAGACACGCATTGGTAAAGAAAGTGGAAATGAGTGGGGGAAAAGAGTCCAATTGGTGACGGGCCATTGGGGGTGTTTGGAATTTCAGACCAGTGAGAGGTGGGGCTGCGAGTGAGCGGAGAAATTGTCAAACAAGTTTCAATATGTGCCATTGACTTGCAGGGGCCCGTGAAAGCTGACTATGTAATATCATATGTGGCCCACTTTTGGTAATGAGAGATGCAACTGCAAATTCAAATCAACAGCAGAACTTGTTAGATTTAGATGCTTCCGAGGTCCACCCTTTCTTTGCCTTATTACAGAATTGTCAACATTTGTGGACTATACTTTTAATTGTGCCCCTCTTAGCTTAGTGGCCCATGGCTTGTCGAATGATAAAGGTCCACTTAAATATCTAATATTGCACAATTGTGAGATTATGGTGCGACTGTCCACGGGCTAATTACATCATATTGATCCAAAATTTGTTTTCTTTTTGAATTTTGGGTAGGTAAGTTGAGTATATAAATAGAAAAAGGAAAAAGAGAATATGTGGAAGAGTCCAAATGCCTAAAACCACCCACCATGAAAATGCAGAGGTCAAAGAATAAAGAAACCAATCCTAAGTAAGGAAATATTTCTCACATAAAGGAATGGGTAAAACATAGTAATCCTTTTGGGCTCCGCTAAAGCCATTTAGTCAACTTCCATGGACCTGATATGGGTGATTCCTAACCTTATGAGAAATTGTAGAGTGCTTTGAGGGTGCCAATGATGTAATATTGGTCCAATTTTCAGAATTTTTTACGTGCAAGTTTATGATCAATTTTATTTAAATTTTTAATTGCGTGTCATATTGCGTTTGGTGAGACCATATAAATACTAGATACATAATAATTTATCCAATTCTCTCTCTTCCAAAAATGGCATAGCTTCGTATGTGTGATCTTTCATTTGTCATGTTTATTTTGTTTTACTAATATTTTCTGTTACGAAGTGTGTCTACAGATCAATTTGTAACCAATTTCTAATGCCATTTTTTGTTCTTAAAATTTGGGAACTAAAAGTTATTAAATGACCAAAACAAAGGAAAAATGAGGCTATAAATCATTAATTTGAGAAGAAAAAACATATTTGGGGTAAAAAGTAGGGGTGTCAAAAGTTGATATAATACGCTAAGTTGCTAACACAATTGGATCCAACACAATATTAATGTGTTAAGAGTTAACTTGAATCTTGTCAATTCCATTAATTTATCTAATTAATCATTATGTTTAGATTTAGGGAATATCAACCCGCTTAACCCGATTCTTATTTAATTAATCATGACAACTCAATCCAAATTTACCGTGTGGCATCTCTCAACCTTTATAGCTCAACCCCGTTCCTATCAAATTGTTTTGCTTGTTTGTTAAGATAAAATTCATAAATTTTCATTTAATACATTATTATAATTGTTCATATTTAAAAAAATAGTATATAAACATGTTAACAAACGAATCGCATTTGAATTGATTTAACACCCAATTGTCCTAAGTAGATAAAGGATAAATGGTGACGCTAGAAGAAGATAAGTTGGGTAAAAACAAAGGGATAAAAGGATAAAGATTGAAATGTTTATATCACTTCTTACCTATAAAAAAATAAAATAAAGATAACTAACTTTTTATTTAAACTTTTTGAGGAGTTCAATCTTGTCATGAATTCCCTCGAATTATCACCTCAAGACGGATTGATTGATGCTTGTTGCCAGGATCTTAAACCTACGTTACCAAAGATAAAAAGTGAAAAAGAGAGGTGAATCTAATTCTCATTTGTACAATTGAAAGCAATTGCCATGAAAAGTTGAAGGGACCACATCTTTTCTTGGTGTAATTCTCTCTCTTAATAAGAGATACTCTAATTTTTAATTAGGATTAAAATAAAAAAAATAAAAATTTAACTTTATGAGGTAACAAAAGAAGCTAGTAAAAATTGTTGTTCAGTCGCCGCCCAATTTTGCTGTCAACAGGTAATACATATATATGTATATGTATTGTTGAGAGCATATAATACATATATATGTATATGTATTGTTGAGAACATATAATTGTAGTAATAGGGGAGGGTTATATTGGTCTATTCATAATTCTTCTGTCTTTGTTAACTAGTCAAAGGGTTAAATGGTCATGGTGTAGTATATCGAAGGCTCAAAGTTCTGGAAGGGTGTGTATGCAAAATTTCAAACCTTATTGGGGGGATGGGATTAACCAATAAGTGAAATTGATTAAAATTTTAAAAAATTAACCCTAAATAATAATATAAGTGATGATAGAGAACAAAATGTCAAAACTTTAGTAAAGTACTATGTTAGTAAAGTTTAGCTGTACAGTACGTACCACAAAAGATATTTGGTTTGACAACTTAATTTAAGACCTCAACCAAAAAAAAGTTCGACTTGGTCGCATATTAATAGCAAATGTATAAATTTCTCAACAGTCAACAAAGCAAGGGCATACATCATCAATGACTCTGTACTTTCATCTTCACCATTCAATTTTGTAAAAAAATAGATATTTAGTGTTTACAATTGAAGGGTTATGTATTAATTATTATTGCTTTGTTTTACATGATTTAGTTAGACTTAGTGTGTGCACATATATGATAATTTAATTTTAATTTTCCTTTTCTTTTCAAATATATCCACATTTGTAAGTTGTGTTTGGTAATATCAGAAAAGTTTTGTATAGACAAGTCTTTTTTTGTTTTCTTGTTTTCTTTTAAAAAACGGCAAGAAGAAGAGATTTATGAGACTGAGAGAAGTCGAGTCATCAATGACCTCTGCTTTGTGAGACTTTGTATTATGACCATTTTTTCTACACCTTAAAGTTATATAAGGAATTTTGAGGAGATATTTTAAGTGTTTTGTACAACAACAATTTTAATTAATGATTGAATTAACTCTGAGCAAGCAAAATTGCAAAGAATTAAATAGCTAAATAATTATAGAAAAAAGTACGAAGTACATGAGAATGCATCATCTATGGAAGTTCTAAGTTTTTTTTTTTTATTTTTCTTTTGTCTTTAAACTAAGTAGAATTTGGCGTCTGCATTACTTGAGTAAAGTTGTTTGTGTAGAGATTGTTGAGTAGAGTTGGTATTTTAGAGTTTTCACATTTATGTGGGGTAGTGTAACGGGTAGGCGCTTGCCCATTTACCCGAAAGCTCAAACTATTGGGTAGCATACCTACCCATTTATACACACTTCAACCCCCATCCAAATTCGATGTGGGACAAATTTCACTTGTAACATTCTCCCCCACCCGAACCAACGCAACGCCCTCGTTGCGATTGGACCACCCTGTCTATCCGGAGGCAGACCTGGACGCCTTCCGGGTCCGGGTCGGGTGCTTGGCGTGACACCTGATTAAGGACTGGGTCTGACTCTGATACCAACTGTAACGGGTGGGCGCTTGTCCATTTACCCAAAAACTCGAACTATTAGGTAGTGCTGCATACCCATCCATTTATACACACTTCAACTCCCATCTAAATCTGATGTGGGATAAGTTTCACTTGTAACAAGTAGTGTAGAGAGAAATGAAGGATTCTAAAATATGGGAGAGTTAGTAGGAATTAATGATTGGAAATTTTTTTTTGAGGAAGTTGCCTATAAATAAGGAAGGATTTGTGTATACGGGTAATTATTTACTGATTATATTTAAAAGTGAGAAAGATTCACAAATATTACTAGAGATTTTGAAAAAATTGAGAGTTTTGACAATAATGTATAATACAACCCTCTTAAATCATATAAGGGCAATATTTTTAAAAGTACGACACTTCAAATATTGAGATCATTTTTTAAAAAGAGTGGA